GCACCCCCCCCCCCTCGGGTAGCCGCCACCTCCGGCCTGCCCCACGGTCCCGCTGCCTCAGGGAAGCGCCCGCAGCCATCCTGGGGGGAGAGGGGCACCCGCCGTCCCCCACCCCGCCTAATGGCAACACCAGCATCACTGCTGGGGAGCCGGGGAGAGAAAAAGCGCCTCAGCAGCAGCGTTACATGCAGACAGGACTGACCAACAACAACAACAAAAAAGAATGATACTTTTATTTTCCACAGATTTTTAAAGATACTTTGCTACATAGTTTATGTATTTTCTATCAGACTATACAGGTTCGTCTTCATGGAGTCCGACGTTGTACAATTGTAAAGTGATATGTTTGGTAGTGTATCTATAACGTTTTAAAAAGTTTAGAGTTTTTCTTTTTTTTATTTGTTTTTGGAATGTACAGTATATGAGGTAAAATTAAGATTACATTAAAAACTGTCTTCAATGCAGTAATACGCACTGAGGCTCAAATGGCAAATACACTATTAAATGACTATCAAAAATAGGAGCTCATTTGAATTTTACTATGAAAAACATAAGTCACTGCAGATTAACTGTAGTAACAAATCTTACCGTTTTAGACATTCAACCATAAGAAATCTCTGGGCTGTTACACGCAACCTCATTTGCACTGCCAAACATGGCACTTTTAAGAAGGTTCTAGAAAACATCAGTTATCGCGGTATCCTGCAGGAAGGTATCAGCCTATACGTACAAATGACAAATTAGAAATAAAATGTAAACATACAGTACATTTTAAAGACAGATCGTTCTCGCCACGTGGAGGCCAAGTTCTTTGCCATTTCTTTTTTTTTTTTTTTAAAATGAAACTCAGCAACATTATTCTACAGCACAGATCATTGGACGTATAAACAATTACAATACATGCCCGTTCTAATATAAGAGAAATTCTTCAGAGATCTTCAAAGCACAAGACAGAGGTTCCTTTTTTTATTATTATTAAGACCGACAGAAGTGTTTAATACCATTAAAAATGCTAAACTGAACACAACTAGAAGTCATTAATGATCCACTATCTTGTAACTCAAATAAATTAAAAATAGCTAATTACAAAGTGTATAACAAATAACGTAAGTGTGATGAGACAAGGTGGTTTTTTTTTTTTTTTAAAAATAGTTTTCA